TGTATATTACTCGATTGGCGTCTAAAACGTACAATTCTAATAAGACACATCTTTTGAACACATTCCTTCTGTTACTAAGGTGATTCAATCTCTCTCTCTCTCTCTCTCTCTATATATATATATATATATATATATATATATATATATATATATATATATATGCGATTATAAGGCTTGAGCATAATATTGCTGATTGAAAGAATAACTCCCCCCACTGAAGAAGAACACGTTTTCTTTATATTTGCTTAGCAATTAATTTAGCCTTTGTTAGTAAAATTCATTAATTTATCATGAATATGCAAAGTATTTATGGGGATAATCATAATTTTGCTTTGTTCTTAAACTTGAGGGCATATGCCTTCATTGTGGATGGCGGACACCTGTTAACTGTAATAGTTCAATCGTTTATTTGTGCAGTATTTCACAAAGAGGTGATCATTCTGACTAGAGACCGTTCAACTTCCCGCATTTCACAGTTTCCCTGTCTTGGCTTTCCTTTCAAAAACAAGAAACGACTGCATGATTAATGTCTGTTTTATTGGGTAGTAGAGGTTCTTGATTGGTGCGCCACCATAGTTTCTTATTGTTTATCTTTTCTGATCGACCATCTGATCTTCATTTTTAGTATGGAGTAAATGAGTCTGGTGTGGTAATGGAAGTCTGTAGTTGCTGCCTGTTAGAAATGTGAAATTAATTTTGAAAACCAAGATTTGTATTGCTCGTATCCTGATTGCAAAGGGGTTTCCACATACGAATTTCAAAGTGATGTAGATCTGTAGATCTTGCTTTTCCGATCCTGGCTTGGCTTTGACAACCGGATGTCTGCTACATGACCATAGTTGAACCGATGCTGTCTGTCTGTTTTCGACAAACAACTTTGCACCGATGTGCACCAGTTCAAGTCGCCACACATCATGTAGCACACAAAGTAAGAGAAGAAAGTACAAGAAAGGCATAATAGAGACAGTAAGCAGAGGTGTGAGAAAAAGGAAAAGTAGTAACGAAGAACAACATAGTTTCATTGGAAATCATAAGTCTGAAGGATTGGATGCATCTAAGCCAGCTATTGAGAACGATGAGTTTGAGCCATATCATCAATTGTTTCCAACCATTTGCTTTTACCATCCTGAGGACCTTAATCAGTCAGGAAGTCTACACCTTCCTACGTAGCTGGCTTAAACAAACTGTTGTGGATTTCATTGACTAATGGAGCCATGTCTTGGTTTGACCTCCACTAGCTCTTTTCCAGCCTGACCCTATATCAGCTAACATTACCCACTGTCGAGGAAGGTGATGACTAGGGATGCATACGTAACACATGTCCTAACCATCTCTCTCAATTGGTGTAACTTCACAGCCTCGTCGATTGATTTCCTCTCCTAACCGATGCTGTGACTAATAATAGTAGTGATAATGATCAGTTTGAGGTTAGTTAGTGAGCCACCTACAACGCGCCCAACAATACCAACAACGGAAGCAGAACTACCAGTGAACATCGACCTCCCGACGAAATCAGAAGTCCTGAATGCAATGAAGATGCTAAAAGCTGGAAAAGCAGCAGGGCCAGATGGAATCCCAGCAGAAGCATGGAAAATGGACCCAGAGACAACAGCGGACTTGTTGACGCCATTGCTGGAGAAGGTTTGAAAAGAGGGCGAAGTACCCGAGGATTGGAAGCAAGGATACTTATTCAAACTACCAAAGAAAGGAGACATAAGTCAACGCAAAGACTGGCGCGGAATTATGCTCCTGTCCATCCCAAGCAAAATACTACGCCGCGTCATCCTGGAGAGAATCAGACAAGTGCTGGATGAAAACCTTCGAGCGGAACAAGCTGGATTCAGGAGAAACAAGTCATGTATTGATCAAATCTCCACACTATGGATCATCATTGAACAAAGCTTGGAATGGAAGTCACCTCTCTATCTCAACTTCGACTTTGAAAAGGCCTTCGACAGACATTGTCGATGGAGAGATGATTTGGCAACTACTTCGCTACTACGGGGTGCCTCTGACAATTGTACATCTCATACAACAGTTATACGACAATGCTGCATGCCAAGTAATCCACAACAGGAAACTCACGGAATTCTTCGAATTGAGGACAGGAGTAAGGTAAGGCTGTCTACTATCGCCAATGATCTTCCTGATGGCAGTAGATTGGGTAATCGGACAGACGGACAACGGGAAATGAGGAAACAGGCATAAAATGGACTCACACAAAAAACGAACTTGAAGGATCTGGACTTCGCCGATGTGATGTACATGTCTGATTTCCCACAAACTGGAAGATATGCAAGTGAAGAGCAACAAGTTGGCAGAAGAAGCATCAAAGAACTTCACTTCAAGTGAACATAGAAAAAACAGAGGTGATGATATCCGGTTAACACCAACAGCAACAACAAGAACAGACAACAATCAGCCTGCGTAAATGGGAGAAACCTGAAAGAAACAACCTCCTTTACCTACCGACCTACCTGGGAAGCATCGTTTCAACTACAGGCTCACGGAACTGACGAGGATATCAAAGCCAGAATCGGAAAACCAAGACAAGCTTTCATTACTCACGTCAAGTCTGTGTGGAGGTCAACAGCACTCAGCATCAAAAATAAGATCCGGATTTTCAACTTCAATATGAAGTCAGTGTTACTTACTATACGGATCAGAGACTTGGTGCGTCATAAAGAGCATCTCAAACAAACTTCAGACCTTCATTTACAGTTGTCTTCACTCAATACCACTCAAGATCAGATGGCTGGTCAGAAAAGATCAGCAACAGGGATCTCTGAAAATGAGCGAACCAACACAGCAGGAACCGATTGTGAAACAAATAGGCAGCAGGAAATAGAGATGGAATGGCCATACGCTGAGGGAACCATCAAGTGACATCACTAGACAAGCCATCCCTCGAGTGGAACCCGAACGAATGGGAAGCGGCGAGTTGGTCGTCAGTGCAAGGGTGACTTGAACGAGGTCATGTGTAGGGGAGATGAAAGCATGTGGGCAGACTTGGAGCGGCGGGGTGAAAAAGTTGGCAGAAAACCGAAGGCAATGGAGACTTGGGCGGCTGAAGCCCTATGTTCCTCTAGGAATTAAAGGATATAATAATAATAATAATATACTGAGTTGTTCAGTGAAGATAGATACTCTTTCCAGAGATGATATTATTCTCAAACTGTACAATCATATACCTATCATGCGTTGTCATAGTAACAAAAGGAATGTCTCTAAAGATATGATATTGAAATATTTGAGTTTTAGATAACAATGAACACACACTCTAAACAATGTTGTATACCAAAGTATTAGTTAGGCAAAGACTTAAGAAAAATTAATAAAGTAAATTGATTGACGTAACACAACTTACAGGACTGAGTGAGTAGAGTTCAATTAAATGTGTAAAAACACCAAGTCAAATTCAGTCTCACAAGAATTAGTGGTAGTAGCGGTTTTTTAATAATGAGAAAAAATTACTCCTAAAAAATATATCACGCGTTAAATGTTGAAATAAAATCAGGTTCATTGTAAATTCATTGACTAAACAAACGTCTTGTGTATGCATAATTCTGAATTTAACAGATTGTCATAGCTTCTGTGCTTTATAGAAGTTCGTCTCGTACGCCTTTTTTAAGTTAATAATAAAAGGTAGGAATTAAGATAGTAGAGCAAGTTGTGTAATTAATGTTCTAATTGGTGGTATAGTCTGTGAAGTAGAACACTTGTGGTTATTTATTTTCAAATCAACTTTGATTTTCCTATTCATTGATTGATTGATTAACTGGACCGAAATTCTCTCCCCTCCTTTTTTTGATATACCAGCGCCTACTATGGGTGCTTCGACTATATCTAAGGATCGATCAACACTAATGTTATTCAGTGGATGGTGACTAGCAGTGTCAAATCCAGGATGCGCATTTCGTCTTATTTGGGACTCGTCATCTGATTATAGGTTTAGTGTTTGAAACTATGGGCACTTGGTTCGAGCCTCGGTGGGAACATCATCACTCACTGAGAAATGCAGGTACATCCAGCTGACGAGTCCCAATTAGGACGAAATGCGCATCCTGGATTCCACTGCTAGCCACCATCCACCAATTGTATACAAATTGGTGCATAAGACTTTGAAGTTTGAAATTGAAGGGTACTGAGTTCAAATCACTTTGGATTGGTGACACGTCTAGTTGGTGTGTCTCAAGCAGGACGAATCCATCCACCGAATTACTTTATAACACCTCAATAAGGTGAGCAATATTGAGGTTAGGCGTCGAGTTCTAGGTAAACAGGGGAAATCAATCGACGAGGCTGTGAAGTTACACCGATTGAGAGAGATGGTTAGGACATGTGTTACGTATGCATCCCTAGTCATCACCTTCCTCGACAGTGGGTAATGTTAGCTGATATAGGGTCAGGCTGGAAAAGAGCTAGTGGAGGTCAAACCAAGACATGGCTCCATTAGTCAATGAAATCCACAACAGTTTGTTTAAGCCAGCTACGTAGGAAGGTGTAGACTTCCTGACTGATTAAGGTCCTCAGGATGGTAAAAGCAAATGGTTGGAAACAATTGATGATATGGCTCAAACTCATCGTTCTCAATAGCTGGCTTAGATGCATCCAATCCTTCAGACTTATGATTTCCAATGAAACTATGTTGTTCTTCGTTACTACTTTTCCTTTTTCTCACACCTCTGCTTACTGTCTCTATTATGCCTTTCTTGTACTTTCTTCTCTTACTTTGTGTGCTACATGATGTGTGGCGACTTGAACTGGTGCACATCGGTGCAAAGTTGTTTGTCGAAAACAGACAGACAGATAACACTTGTGGGTTTAATTTCATTCACCGATTGTTACACTGAAACCAATGTGTGTTAGTCGTTTCCCGTATGATCCCCGCCTAGGACTATGATTCATGCAGCATTCTTGTTTACTGAAGTTTGCATTTTTGAAACAATTATTTTAAGTTGTATTTTTTGTTTTTGTTTTCACCTATTATTGTCTTACAGATATTTGCTCGTGAACTGTTTGTTTCTGAAGTACAGGAAACTCTGCCAGCTAAACAACTACGTGGTGTATGTAAAGTGAATTATTTGCCCGATTTGAAAACAGCGCTTACAACATTTTCACCAGATGAAGATGATAGCTTTTTCTATGTTTTTGCTTACAATCCCGAGACGCGTCGTTTATCGAAAATTCGTGCAGAAATACGCGTAAGTTATGCGTGTTCTTTTGTTTGTTATTATTTGAGAAGGAATGGAAATAAGGAAAGTAAAGCAACAACGTCGCATGACATTTCTCAAGTTCAGTAGTGATTTGCTTACTGTTTTTTTTTTGATGTGACACCTTTATGTTGTGTATGAAGGAAGACAGGTTAGATTCTGTTAAATAGAGCCATGTCTCAATCCTTTTCCCAGAAGTGTAATTTCCTAATGCATGTGAATAGTCTTCTTGTATGAATTTATGTGAATTACACTTATTCAAGAAGTTGTGTGCGTCGATGGCACAGTGGTAGAATGTTAGCCAACCACATCGCGCATGTGGTCCGGGGTTCGGTACCCGGCGATTGGACGCACTTCTTTACCTCACTAAGCCAATAATAAGACTGATAAAAAGAGGGAAGGTTGGGCATGAAGCTGGCTAGCCAGCTCATCGCGTAAAAGTAAACACCACTGCTACCGAAACTTCAAGCCTCTCTCTTGAAGCCCTATTTTCCTCTGGGAATGTAAAGGAATGTAAATGCGGTATAAGTTACATTGGAAGGACAGAAAGAAGGGCATATCTACGATTTTCTGAATGTACCAAAAAGCTTACATCTAAAGGGAACAAATGATTTAAACAGTGCCATCGCCAGGCATCTCCTCGACACCGAGCGATGCTGGGGACATCACTCGTACCCAATTCCCATGAAACTTCATGGTTCATGAAGCCGGCTCATCCTCCCGTAGGAGATAGCCGAAGTAAAGTAAAGTAAGTAAGTATCTCCTCGACACAGGTCATAAGGTGGACGTCGAAAAGTTGTTCTAAATTACCAATAGGCAAAGGAGCTCAATTCTCCTTAAGTTTGCTGAAGTCATTCCCATCAAGCGCCTGAAGCTTGACTTATGCATCCAGAAAGAAGCGGTTATCAGTCTTTCTCTGCCCTGGTAACTGGATATCTTCACCTCCCTTTCTTCCAAATGCGAAATGCTAAAAGTTTCCATTGTGTATGATTATTATTGTTCGGAATAGTGTTTAATATTGCATATTTATATATGTATATATTTTTAGTGTATGCATATACTGATGGATTGATTTTTGTTTAAAATGAACTCTGTGCAAGTATGTTAAAATTGTTGTTGTAGATATGTTTAATAATGTCTTTGCCATGTAAGCAGCTGACGAGAAGGCGACGAAATAAAAGATGATGCCATTTTATTCTGCTAAAACTGTAGTTCTTGCTTTGTTCAAATTTCTCAATAAGTTGGGGGATAGTGGGCTTTTCGCCCAGCACTGACAACCAACGTGTTACAGTTAGCATTGTGTGGTTATTGTGTAATTTCATGGTTGCATTCTATCGTAACCAGTGTAATCCCCTCCCCCCACGCTTTCAACTTAACTCCTCTTAAGTAGTGCTCTATTACAATGCTCGAATGTTTATCCCCAGCAGCAAGTCATCTGTAGTCGACAGACATCTGTTGGGAGACTTGTCATCAGCACATACATACTAGTTGTGGGATCATCAATCGGACCAGTATTCTATTATTCATTTGATGACAATGTCCAGAAAATCATAGAGGATGACAACTGTCAAAACATAAAGCATAAAACAATTTCAAGTGTTGTCTTTTTTGTTGCGGTGATTTGATGATTGGCTCTAAGTTGCATCACTGAATAATATCTGTTAGAGAACCACTGAAAACCAGGGAGTACTGAATGGTGGCAGTTCTGACGTTACTTGAGACTCTTCAGTAGTACGCATCCATGACCCACGACGATGACCACCACCAGGATTTAAGCAAAAATATGTGTATTTCGGTGGATACTCATCAGACTTCAACATATTATATTTCAGTACTTCGGTGGCACAGCGGTAGAATGTTTGCCAACCACGTCGCGCATGTGGTTCGGGGTTCGATCCCCGGCCAGTGGACGCATCCCTTTACCTCTCTAAGCCAGTAATAAGACTGGTAAAGAGGGAGGGTTGAGCTAGGTAAGGCTAGCAACCCTACGCCGTAAAAATAAACACCACTGCTACAGAAACTTCAAGCCTCTAGCTTGAATCCCCTATGTTCCACTGGGAACGTGAAGGAATTAAAAAAATCCATTAAATATTAATCATGGACATATGAATGATCTGGTTATTAGAATTATGCTTCAGGGATGTGAATTACTGGTAATGACAAGGATAAATCCATTTAAGTGTTTATGTATTTTAGGTAACTGTGAATGTGTGTATACTAACTAGTGTAGGGATAGAGGGGGGAAGTAACTTTTGCCACATAGGGATAAGATAAACTAATGATAACAAAAATTGTGGGACTAAGATTAAAACATACCACTATAACACAGCACGGTATTGGTAATTAAGTTAGCAGTACAAATAAAAGTGATATTTAAAGTTATCCGGTGGTGTCACCAGGACACTTAACTATTCTAGGTGTTGGCTTTGTGAAAGCCATGGAAGGAGAAGGGATTGAACAAATTTTTCCTGAACACAGAGATTACTCAAGCTATTTCTTAACTATCGAAGGCGTACAGACTTGTGAAATGGGAGTGGCACCTTGTATAGAATTTCTAACGTCTGAATTCTTATCAATCTCATGCACCATATTCACAATGTATGCCATTTTATGGGACTCCTGGTTTACTTTACAACTTCTTTGCCCCACCATGTTTAACAATGCTCAGGAAGACGGCCGTGACCTTGCACAGATTATGGCTCATTGGCACTCACTTGACTTTCAACTATTCGGTTGTGGATTGTAATTCATCTGCAACTTAATTGGTCCTGGATAATTAACTGATTCGTATTGTGGTGAGAACTGGCTGCTGGCCAAATCGGTAGACAGTAATTTACGTCAATGTTTATGTTGCAAATATTTGTCATGTGAACAAAGACTGATTCAGCAACCAACCACAGCAGACTTTGTGTAGGCGGATATAATACTCGTCTCTTCCCTTTCGGCCTGGTTCCACTCGAGCAATGGCCTGACGCGCGCGCGATGCCACCCAGCGGCCTCCTCAGCGAGTGTCCAATCCATCTCCACTTTCTCCTGCATATTTGTTGGTTGGCGATTGGTTTTTGTTTTGTTTGTTGTACCATTGTGACTAATTATCAATCTTCATCTTAAGTGTTCGTCCCAACTTTCTTTTTCAGGTTGGTCAAGCATATCAAGCCGCCTTACCAGAATTTCGTCATCATCCACCTGCTGCTTATCGTTTTAACAATAGAAATCATTGTGTAAATCATTCACGTAAGCGCAAACGTTGTACGCATAAATCAGCAGCAGATCAAGATACACATTCACTCCCGCCACATTATGATCATCATCATCACGGCCATCACCCTCGTAAGCATAGACGTACCAATAATGCTTCACCGCATCAATTGACCACGGTTAACACATTGCATAATCATGAATTACAGCCGTCAAATAATGCTGTGTCAGATGCTCCCGATGAGGGTGGCATTGGTGGTGGTGATGGTGGCGATATTTGTGGTACAGTTTCAAAGATGTCCGATGATGATACTGCTGATGCTGATGACAATAAACCATTAATCAATAAACCTAAAATGGATATTCCTAAGTCTCCGAAAAAATTAGACACCGACACCGACAATGATGATCATGTTGACGATCATAGTGATAATGACATGCCATGTAAAACAGAAGTGACTACTCTCAACGCACCTGTAGACATGTCAGAAAGCATTAAAAATATATCAAAGATGGAGTCTTCTTCAATGAGTGAACCATTGGCGTCAAATTTACCACCAAAATTAGAGAATGCAAATCATTTTGATGATGATGATCGCATGTCGGTCGATCCGATGAATACTGACGACTTGGATCATCCTCCTCCTCCTTCTCATCAGTCTCATAATCATCGCCACTATCACAATCATCATCATCGGCGCCATCAATGTCATCCTGCTTGTAATCATAAAAATCATGTATATCCTGGAAGACAATCTCATCATCGAAAACGAAAAAGAGGAGGAGGACATCGAAGGTGTTGTCGTCGAAAGTCACAGAAAAGAGAGATACTTGTTTGGAGTCCGTGTGGTTTATCTTCTGCCCTGTCAGCTTCTTGTAAAGACTTCAATTCAATCATTGCTACTGTCACTACTGTCAACGATCATCAGAACAATCCACATACTGGCGAAAATGATGATAACAATAATAATAGTAATAATAATGCAAATACTGTGCTAAATAATATCAGTTCAGATTTTAATTCTATGCTATCAGATGAACCGCTGAAAAACTACTTAGATGCTGTTCGATCAATGGTAGCATTTTTTGGTTTCGGTGGTGCTGAAGATGATTTATCCTCAGCTGAAAATGGTCTGGTGCTTGCTAATCTTGCAGCGACTACTCAACACGCCTATGATACTCTGCATAAATGTAAATATTCATTAAGAAATGCTCTACAAGCGATATCGTGTAATCCTATTGTGGCTAAGGTTAGTTCATTGTTTCGTCTGTTTTCTCTTCCATCCTTTTTCAGTATCATTTATTGCGAAGTGCTCATTTAATGAAGAATTATATTTGTAATGATTGATGATTTCATCATAAAATGGCATTTTAATTTGAGAATGTATGACCACGGGATAGCCGTTCTGTCCCACATATGCATTATGAGTCCAGTATGTTGGATGTGAAGCGGATGGTCATCGATGGTTTTGGTTAACGGTGATGCTGTATCATGAATTGACAGAAGTTACAATGCATGGTGACTTATCAGGCACTCAAACAGTGGCTTAGCTCGTAGGTTAAACCGTTTTCCTTGATTCTGTCCCACCTGAGGAGTTCCTGAGTAGGACGAAACGACTATGCAGTGCTCTATGGTTTTCAGCGATTCTCCACCTAATGTCTATCTAACCATGAACAAATATTGAAAATAAGAATTCATTCCCTACAAACTCTTGAGATCTGAATATTTTCTTATGTAGTAGTACACCTTTCTGTCTAAGAAGTGTATATTAATTTTGTAAAATTTCACAGATTCCATGGACTCACTTACTCTTAGTGGTGAACACTTGTAAGTGGATTGAAAATATCTTTACATAACGAAAAAACACCGTAGTATTTGTTAGTCCAGTTTGGAAATCTTCTGCACTCCGCCTCAATATATAAAGAACAAGATTTGGATTTTTAACACCAATGTCAAGTCGGTCACTGCTTCTATACGGGTCAGAAAGTTGGCCAGCGTGTCACAAAAAGGATTTCCAACAGGCTACTACAGACTAACATCAACAGCTGCCTTCGCTAGGCTTCATATTGAAAATCAAATGTCCAGAAATAATTAGCAACAAGAAATTCTGGCTGGGAACAAACCGACAAGCAAGAGCTGATTGCTCAACAAGTGGATATGTAGGAGAAAATGGAGATGGATCGGGCAAACCCAATGAGAAAGTCATCGAATGACATTGCGCGCAGTGCAGGCCATTAATCGAGTGGAATCCGAATGGAAATCGATGAGTGGGTCGTCAGCTCAAGGAGGACATGGAGGAGATCGTGAGATTTGGAGGAAGAGATGCGAGATTATGGGCAATCGTGGAGCCAGCCAGCCAGCCAGTCAACTTCACAGAACAGCGGAAAATAGAAGAAAGTGGAGATGTGTTGTTGAAGCCCTATGCTCGACTTGCAACCCAAGAGATTTATAATAATAATAATAATAATTTGGTAGTTCCTCATGATATCTTGATTGTTGTCCAAGACAACCAGTTAATTACTTACTTGAGAAGATAAGATTTACATCTAAGAATCTAAATTATATATATTTTTTTTATTAAAACAAACTCGGTACATTATTGGCACCAAGAGAGGCGATACTCAAAGTTTTGTACTTTCTAAGAGGTTGTCTAGACCGATGCAGATGATGATTGGCTTGAGGGGTCTTTGACCATGGCATTGGTACAATATCAAAAGCTAATTTTCCATGGTTTCCAGTAACGAAAATAGGTTCATAAGCCATTCGGTTGTTTCGGATTATGCAGTCCATGTACACACCGTGTAGGTTTGAAATTAGGGTATTTTATCTCCCTCTAGGTAGACATGCATGTCCACTAATACGATTGTAGGCGCCAAGATGTTCAGATTCCCCCCCTCCCCCCTCGCTCCGCCACAGGAGAGCAGTATAAAAACTGAATTATTCGAAATGACGTGTTATAGTACTTTTGTTTTGAACTTTTCTTACGGAAAGTACAAGATAAACGTGGAACTCTTTTGAATGTTCCTTATCAAATAAATTATCTAAATATTTCCTCATTTTACATCTGTTTTTCTTTGAAAGTTAGTAATTTCTGATGCGTTTAAGTGTAATTCACAGTCTGTCTGTCTGTTTTCGACATAGAACTTTGCACAAATGTGCGGAAGTTCACAGTAATTATACTCCGATCATAAGTTAAAGATAGAAGTGCTGGTACTTACGCTTATTGTTCTAAATAAGATCTATAACAATTAAACTTAAAGAAGTGGTCGGAAAAAATGTGGTTAGCTTTAATTATTCTTTTAGGAAAAAGCTCATGTGACATGGACACAAGATTTGACTATCTATCGATCAAGGGACACATGTGTACTGGACAGCACTTTGCTCTATGTATGCTTCTTTACGATAGTGAGACATCGTCTTTGAAAGTGGAAGATATGAAGTGGTCAACAACCGCCTTCCGTCAATGGTGTCTACATTCTGTCTCTCGTACTAGTTAGTTAGTGTTGTGCTACCAATAATGATGTGCGTGCGCTTAGGCACAGAATATTTAGGTAAGCACAAAATATCTATCGGGGTTAGGCTATAAAACTATGTTGATTGAGGTGGGGGTGCCCATCCATCGTCATATTAGGGTTGGCTAGCATAGGATTAAGTTGGAAAAAAGTTGGACAGTGTGTGTGTGGGGGGGGGCGTCAAATGAAAACATGGCATCAGTGTCCATGAGGTCTTTGACAGTACGTGTGTCAGGTAGCCATGTAGGTAGGTGCAGACTTCCTGGTTTTGGGGCTTTTGAGGCTCTAAAAGCAGATATGACCAGAGACTGTTGGTAACAGGGCTAGAAAATCTCTCTTTGTGATCACCCCCGGATTCATTAAATTCTTCATTATTACCATCAGCCCCAACGGGCTGATCTCTGACGAAATCTCAGCACGAATACAAGGGGCTCGTTTCGCATTTGTTAGTTTACGCCGACTCTGGCGTAGACGAGATGTTCGACTATCGACCAAAGGGCGGGTGTACTGCTCATCAGTCCGCTCCGTCCTCCTTTATGGCCAGCTGTGAGACCTGGCCACTGAGAGTGGAAGACATGAAAAGACTAGCTGTCTTTGATCATAGGTGCCTGCGTTCTCTCTCCCGTGTAAAGTGGCATAATAAGGTGAGCAACATGGAGGTTAGGCGTCGAGTTCTAGGTAAACAGGGGAAATCAATCGACGAAGTCGTGAAGTTACATAGACTGAGATGGTTAGGACATGTGTTACGTATGCCAAGCCATCGCCTCCCTCGACGAGCTATGTTAGCGGATATAGGGTCAGGCTGGAAAAAAGCTAGCGGCGGTCAGACAAAAACTTGGCATCAGTCAATGAAATCCACAACAGTTGGTCTAAGCCACGTAGAAAGGTGTAGACTTCCAGGCTGGGGTCCTCGGGACGGTAAAAATCTATGGTTGGAAACAATTGGTGACATGGCTCAAAACCGTTCTCAGTGGCGCAGATGCATCCACTCCTTGTGACTTATGATCTTCAATGAAACTGTTTTGTATTTCTTTATTACTCCTTTGTCTCACACCTCTGCTCACTGTTTCTATTATGCTTTTCTTGTACTTTCTTCTCTTGCTTCGCGTGCTACACGGAATGTGGCGACTTGAACTTCCGCACATTTGTGCAAAGTTCTATGTCGAAAACAGACAGACAGACATTAAACTATCCCTGTCTCCTATAAGTACATACATCTGTTTATCATAGTTTCTCTGCCTTTTGATGTAGTCTTTTATGAAGTCTGAGGACAACTTGAACTTCTCTACTTTTGTGCAAAGTTCTAAATTCGAAAATTCAGTTTGATCTCGGTTCATCTCTTTACTTTTCAAGAGTTAACTTGTAGGAATTTGACAACCAGAGGGGTTAAAGTTGACATTGTTGGGCATACCCCACTGAAACGCCGTAAATGCTTAGTCTAACAGGGTGTCACTTGTGGCTGACAGATTTTTCAATAAAATATACTGAAAAAGATAGTGGGAGATGATTGTCATTGTGTTGTAAGTCTGCGAAAGACTAAAACGTAATTTTTCAAAAGAATGGTTACTGAATAAAGAGTATTTCTTTTCGATAACTTCCTCACCGTCAGATTTCACAGTTATATATACATACATAATAGTGAACGAATGAATTAGTGTTATTATTAACAACATTAATGTTGTTTAACTAAAATCGAATCATTAATAATAATAATAATATCAGTAGATTACAGTTCGATAGTATCAACATAACAATACACACTGAATAAATATCAGAGAAATTATTAAAAATCATAATACGGAATTCATGGATTTATAGTCTCCATTGAAGGCTGGCCAGGACAGTAGTAGTGACTGACTGGACTTGCTTCTCCTGCACACAGAGCACCGGTTGTTTTAGGTGAATCGCGATGGCCTCTTCTGTTTGAAGTATGCAGTACCTGGATGTTTTTGGCAATTTATTTGGTATCCGGTAGATGATGATAGAGAAGGATTCTTCAATGCTGGCTGGCTTTGTGGCCAGTTTGGATCAGGTGGTCTAACGTCGAACTGTTGATGGTTTTGACCACACCCTTACTTAGACATACTGGGAGATGTTCCTAAGCAAGCACGAAAAATTAAGTTTCTAGAGCAACCGCCGATATAACTTGCTCCACAACAAACGCGGTTGAATTGTTCGATACAATTAGAAGTGACTAGTCTAGGTACTTCATCTTTCAATTGGAGAATCACCTTCGGTAGTTTGGAAGACATGACTTGTAGTTTACCAGCACTAAAAGTTCTTTAGGCTGATTCTCTTGTTAGCAATTATTTCACTAGGTGCGTCACTCTTGAGTTGCAGTCATATTTATAAAGGCTTCTTATATACTGATGCAAAATAGTCCTTTCTGCTTCCTTGTTTTTGTGTTTCTTGATATATTGGTCTGGATAGCTATTTTCAGTCAATAACTGACTCATGTCGGTCGGAGAACTATTGAAAACCAGGGAATACTGTACATCCGTTTCGTCCTAATTTAGGACTCGTTGGCAGTGCGTATCCACTATGGGGTTCAAAAGTATGACCTTACGGGGTTTCAAGGCAAGCTCTCAGACCACTATCCTCTGATTTTCAGTGGTTCTCTGACTGATATCAATCCGTGGTCAAACTTGAAACAGATCAAATCCCCACACAAACTAACTCTTGAGAATTAGTCTTATACTCTCTAGTGTTACTGACTGCAGGATGAAGTTTACTTGGGGTTATAAGGAGATGTGTGGTCTGTTGGGTGGTGGTCCAACCAGTAGGGAGGGAGTTAGGACAAGTACTCACCGATGACACACTGGCTAGTGATCGCACTACAATCACGAATTGGTAGAAGTTGGATTTCATGGACTGGTCATTGAATCGAGTCTCAGTGACTGAATGGTCTACGAGTTTGCCCTGGGTTTAGTACCTCGGTGACTGCGTACTGTGAATGAGTCTCACACTAGGATGCAACAGCTGACTGTCCAGTACTCCCTTCTGGTTTTCCAATGATTTTTTATCGGTGGTCAAACTTGAAACATCTCTATTTATTTCTTTATTTAGGTAAGTAAGAGTATTATCAGAATAATAATAATATACAATGTAATCATGATTGTCCTTATTTTTTAATGCACAGGATACGCCCAGGCATTGGACAGCTGAACAAGTTCGACTGTTTGCGCATGCGCTACGTATTCATGGGAAAGACTTTTTTACAATACAAAGAAATTTCTTTGGTGGAAAGACATCAAGTAATAATAATAACAACAACAATAATAACAATAACTCTAACACTAACAATATCAATAATAACAATAGTGCAACTATTGCCAATGGAGTTTTGAATGCAAATCAAACCGGAGGCACTGGTCGTATGCGTGGTCGTGGTCGTCGTAAACTTGTCCCTGGTACTGCTTCAGCCTCAAAACTATCCAGTATGAAATCAGACGAGACTGAAGGTAATTCAACGACAGCCACAGTGACGTCAACATCAGCCGGTGGTAAATTAGAAGAGGTTAAGCCTGAGGATCCTGAGTCATTACACGATAACGGGGAATCAGCAGAGAACAATGCTGCTACAACACGTGAGTTTGTATTCTCTGTCGGTTTTTCAGTGCCACATAAGGCTTCAACAGCCCATCCCCATTTCACCTGGTTCTCTGCAATCCTTTTTAACTGGCTGGCTCTACGGCTTTCCACAAGCTTTCATCTCTTTATACGACCTTCTTTCTCCATACCACCCTTGGACTAATAGCCCAATTCGTTTCTCATTCGGCTTCCACTCTGCCAGGTCTACCTGTCGCCTGATTGATGTCACTCAACGGTCTCCTCGACCTCCATTTCTTACTGCATACATGTTGGACGATAAGATGTTGGTTGGTTTGTTGTTGTTGTTGACAGAATTCCTTGTTGCTTGTCTATTCCTACTAACCAGCCAACCATATGGTCTTCAGTACTCAGCCATGTCATTTGTTGATGATAGTTTTCTGCGAGCTCTTTGAAATGCTTTTTATGACTCACTAAGTCTCTAAACTATATTTATAGTGGCACTGATTCAGCATTACTGTCAAAGATCCGGAGTTGACAGTCATACTTTGTATGATAATAAGTGATATTAGCTGGTCGGTTGCCTCAACCTTGCTTGTTATTTAGAGTAGTGGGATTTCTAGTCCGTGACTTTATTTCTCGAAGTCAAGCAGCTAAATCAATGAAAATGACAGTTTTACAGAACTTTTGCGTAGCACAGCTTCCTGTCAATATTCTCCATGTATATATAGCCACCACACTTTGATCTGTCGTCATTTGTGTCATTGTGTCTTTGAATGCAGACGTCTGTGTTGCGTCTCCTGTATTCAGTGGTATAATCAGTGATATAAGGGTTAAGTATAGAATACTAGGTGGCACAGTGGTTAGGACGCTCGCCGGCCGACGCACTCCTTTACCTCACTAAGCCAGAAATAATGCTGGTAAAGAGGAAAGGTTGGGTATGAGGCTAGCAACCCCATCCCGTAAAAGTAAATACCACTGCTATAGAAACTTCAAGCCACTAGTTTGAAGCCGTGTTCTACTAGGAACGTGAAGGAAAAACAAAATAGAATGCTAGGTAACGCGGAGAAGTCGGCCAACAAGGTTGTGAGGCTAAATCATTTGAGGTAGCTTGGGGGGGGGGTTGTGCTGCTCTCATGTCAAGTAAACTTCTCGAAAAGCAATGTTAGTTGACATTGGATTAGGTTAGAAAAGAGTTAGTGTGGTTTGATCAATATATTGTGTCAATCCGTAAAGTCTTCAACAGTTGGTTTGGGCTACCTCACGTAGGAAGATGTAGACCACCTGGTTGCGGGGATCCCCCGGATGCTAAGAACCAAAGGCTGGGGGGGGGAGAATCTCTTTTTCTCTTCTCTGTCTTTCCGTGTTATATGATTGAGTGTGACAACTTGATCTGCTGCTACAGCACTTTTGTGCAAAATTCTGTGTTCAAACTCCAGTCACAATCAAACAGTCATTTGTGTGCTTCTACCTTTTTCGACCTGCTTTTCTCAGAAGCTTCAATCAAGTGACATACTTGGGGTTGTGTGTACAGTCTCTCTTAAAAACTAGTTATTCTTAAAATTGGAATACGTATTCACCAGAACTGTCTGTCTGTCTGGATTCAACATAGAACTTGGCACCGAAGTGCAGCAGTTCGAGTTGCCACCTTCCAAATAGCACACAGAGGTAGACAAGAAGATGAGTGAAGAGAATTAATAGAGTTTGACAAATATAAGAGTGAAACAGAATGGGTAATGGTAGAAAGGAATATGAAAGATTACAGAGATTGAATACATCTGCGCCATTGACAACGATTTTGAGCCATGTCACCTATTGTCTCCAGCCATTGATTCCTAGAGTCCCGAGGGCCCCACCAGAACTGCTTATCATTTATGCTTTTTAAGTACTGATTTAACTAAATGACTGACTTGACTTCGACATAGAACTTTGAACAGAGAAGTGCGGCAGTTCGTGTTGCCGCATTCCATGTAGCTCATAGGGGGAAGACAAAAGGGAGAAAAAAGAACAATACTGAGCAGAAATGTGAGGGAGAAAAACAATAGGAGTTTTTGGATATGGCAGATCCCAGAGAGAGTGGAATGCGTCTGCTTCGTTGAGGACAATTTTTTTAGCCATATCTCCAGTTGCCTCCAGACGTCATTGGTTTTTTACCCCATCCCAAGGGCCCTAACCAACCAGGAAGTCTACACTTCCCTATGTGGGGGGCTGCCTCACACTGACTACCAAAGACTTACTTCTTCATACATTGATTCCACGTAGAAAGGTGTAGACTTCCAGGCTGGGGTCCTCGGGACGGTAAAAATCTATGGTTGGAAACAATTGGTGACATGGCTCAAAACCGTTCTCAGGGGCGCAGATGCATCCACTCCCTGTGACTTATGATCTCCAATGAAACTGTTTTGTTTTTCTTTATTACTCCTTTGTCTCACACCTCTGCTCACTGTTTCTATTATGCTTTTCTTGTACTTTCTTCTCTTGCTTCGCGTGCTACACGGAATGTGGCGACTTGAACTTCCGCACATTTGTGCAAAGTTCTATGTCGAAAACAGACAGACAGACATTGATTCCAAGTTTTGATCTGACCACTGGTAGCTCTTTCTTTTCTAACTTAATCTAATGTCGGCTAAAATTACGCTTCGAGGATGGCTATATAGCTAGGCATGCTTAACATATGTATCCTAACCTTTTCTCTCAAGGTAGCTTCACCCTGTGCGTCAGTGGCCATAGCCGTTAGGACTCTCGCCGACCATGCGCATGGTCTGGGGTTCGATCCCCTGCCGATGCACACCTGATATAAGTTGGTCGGCCTGCAAAATTTGGGCTACCGATATCATCACATGCGGACAATTCTATATCTGTATCAAAAATACTGTATGGAGTCAAGCTATAATAAAAAAACCCTCATCGGTTGACTTTCCCTCCTTTCCTAATACTCAACGCCTGAATCTAATATTTCTCACCCTAACACGGAAGATATAACTCAGATGCTTATGATCAAAGAGAGTACTGATTTAAGGTTGTTTGATTGCGCTTTTTCACTCATTTTTTGCCTTCTACTTTACAGGTATAAGGAAGTACAACTTGAACTATTGTTTCATGTCTCAATAATATTTATTTTCACTCTTTTTTCTTTTCTATCCTATTCAATTCTGGATTCTTGATATACACCATAGAAAAAGGTTTCAATGATGGTAACGGCAATACGTCATCAGGACTACTTTCTACTACTACCACTACTACTACTACTACAAGTGAACCAGTGAAAACTGTCAAAGAATTAATCGCCTTCTATTATTATTGGAAAAGAAAGGGGACCTCATCGTCATCTCTTGGCGGTGGACATGGTGGATTGAGTACAGCTGCTGCCAACTTCGCTACAGCTGTCGTTGCAGCTGCACTCAATACTGATAACACCCTACCGTCATTAAGTGTCAACAGTAGTAGCACTGGTAGTGGTGTTCCGTCGTCGTCGTCATCCTCATCAGCTGCAGTTACAGCCTCTGAAGCAGGCAATCATTCCAATGGTAATATATTCTCTTCTTCTTCTTCTCAAACACACTTCAATGCTTCAGCTGTTAAGAAACGCAAAGCTACAAATCGTGGATGTGTCCGTAAGTATTCCAAATATGTATATATGCATATATTTATCCTGAGTATGTTGAAATGTTGTATTGTGTTGATTTGTTGTGATGTGGTTGTTTAGTAACCTCCTCTTAATCAACACCTGTTATACTAGTAGGCTGATGATGAGAATGTATGCCTTTTGGTGGTTTGTGTTAGTGAAATTCAGCCTTTATTCATGATTAATTGTTATTATTAGTATAATCGAAACACCAACTTAGTATATTGTGGGCATTAAGAGATGCGCCAAACAAAATCCCCTAGTTTGTGTGCGAAGATCTAGACACTTCCCGGACTCCCAGATCGAAAGCGGGTGGTTGTCTTAAATAGCCGCACTCCGGGGCTTCGACCTGAAGTCTAGTTCAAAAAGGTGTGGAGAAATGTGAGGAGCTGTATTTCATGGTTTTTTGTGACTAAAACGAGTTCATACGCTACTCCATCCGTTTCCCATTTTCACACCATATGAGGATTTTTCAGCTACTGTAGGGTGGTCGTGCATATCATCAACTCGTCCAGTTATAAGCACAAGAAGTTGGCAGAAAAGCATAGGCTGTGTACACGTGACCAACCACAAAAGAGCATTTAGAATGGATGACTGAAGTCAACCTACCCTCGGCCGTACCAGATCGTTTTTAGGAGGCTCACAAAGTGATATCTCACCATTTGTGGGACACATGAAAGAATGGAATCGATGTGGTTCAAAGAGTTTGACCTTTAAGAGATTTTGAGTTAGGACAAAAATATGATTGCGACGAAAAGCTTTCAGATAGTACTTCGAATATCTATGGTTATTTATGCAATCTCCGAGAAAATCGGAGACACGTTTCTCCACTAACATCCTATTTCATATTACGCAACCCTGGACAATATTTACCAATTGTCTCCCTCTAATTACGATTTCGATTACTCATCACATTTTGCTAATGCTAACTAGTTTTTATTTTTGTCTGACAGTCCTAATGTACACACACACACACACACACAAAATAATTATATTCAAATGCGATTGTACAGCTAAGGGGATAAATTCGTCGCTGGAGAAAAGAGACTCTTCGCTGAATATTTTGGTTGCCATATTCATGTCTGGATGGGTGTTTTCCGTGAATTATTAAAAATTAGCAAGCACCCTTTGACAATGAAGCAATTTAATGAGTTTCTACGCTATTCTGTCAAGCTTGCTGTGAAGTGAATACCAAGACCGATTTTCTCAGACATTGCATAAATAACACCATAGGTATTTGAAGTGCTATCTGAAAGCTTTTCGTTGCAGTCGTATTTTGTCCTAGCTCCAAATCTCTTAAACATCAAACTCTTTGAATCACATCGATTCCATTCTTTCATGTATCCCACAACTGGAGAGAAACATAGCACGACTATCATCTGTGTCATGTGATTTGTCGCCAAGTGTGATAAACGCCGCCGAGCTTTCACTGAGTATATGAGTATGTTTATGGAGAAGTGCGTAAAAGCCGTCCATTCAAACCTATTGATAATTAGCCTAAAAGCCACTGAAATACGACGCGAATTTCCGGAAGATCTCGCTAAATTTGTGTTCTTCAGTAACTTTACCTCATAAACAACTGGAGGCCTTGTATGTTGGGTCGAAATTCTGCAGTATGAACCAAAAATGTTTAAGGTCTCAGCCAATAGGTCTTGTGTTCAAGTCCCTCTCCACCTGCCTTTATAGCATGGATATAACTGGACAGTATCACCAGTCTTCATACGCACACACACACACACACACACACAATAAGCCTGGCACTTAGTCTTGTGCGTAATACATAATATACCTTTCCGAGAGTAATTGTGGCAGCCGTGTGTTAACCGTAGCAACGATTTTCTTCAAGAATTAGATTTTCTTTTAAGACTACTTTTAAATTTGCGAGCTTTTTTGAGTAAGTAATTCGAAACAACCCAACTGTTAATTTTTCCACTGGATCAATACGGTTATATATATCCAGACAAGGAAAAAGGACTAACACTTCAGTGAAGAGTAGCTTTTCAAGAGATTAATTCATTTGGCTTAGCAATCGCAATTATATGTATGTATATATGATTATTTGTGTGTGTGTCTGTGTCTGTTTTCACTCAGTCTGTGAAACATAAGAGTAAAACGAAAGCAATTTAATTCTAAAGTATTGTTTACATCAGTAAAATATTTCAAAACAGACAAGACTTTACACGGGGTAGGGGTAGGGAAAGGTGAAGATTAGTAAAGTTTAGACTAGACAGTTGCGTAGTATGTGGTAAAGACGTCCAGAAATAAAATGGGGCATTAATGAAAACAGCATATTAGAGAAGTATCTAATGCTCACTAATAGTGGCTGACTTGGCTACTCGACAAAGTTGCCCTAGAGCTTTAGTAAGATGGTGGTGACCGATGGAGTGGGTCCACCAATTAGTTGGGTGTAGGGGGGAGGTCTACTTGCCGATGACATAGTTGACTGATTGTCTGTTAACCTAGAAATCATGAATTGATAAAAGTTGGGATTCTTGGGCAATTGGACTCCGTCTCAGCAGCGCAGTGGTCTACGAACTTGTCTTGCAACCCGAAGTTCTTGGGTCCAATCCCTGAAGGGTGGGGGCATGTGTACATAATGCTGAAGAGTCCTAAAAATAACAATGACGAAATATCTAGCAGGTGTCGAGTACTCCTTTCTACTGGTTTTCAATGACTTCTCTAGCTGAAGTCAATTCGTGATCAATCTTGAACTCGCTTATTTAACTGTATATATATAATCTTATGAAGTTACATTTTTTCCTTGGTTACTATGAAATATACACTCATGTATCTATGCATATATACATAATCTAGTCACTAAACAAGCTTGGCTTGGTATCATTGAATATCGTAAAGCGGCGGAATATGAATTGCGCAGATTATTAACACTGAAAGCGGAGAAAGGTGTTGGTGCTGATGGAGGAGGTCAACAGCAAGCAACTGGTACTACTCTACTTGATGTATAAATCAATGTGTATATGTGTATATATATGTTTATGTGTATGCCTACGGTGTAGGTATTTATGTATATTGGACTGGCTTTTTACATGTTTAGTGTTGCTGCCTTATTAAAATTATTATTATTCAGTCAGTTGTCTGGTTGTGAGTGAGTGAGTGAGTGAGTGAGTGAGTGAGTGAGTGAGTGAGTGAGTGAGTGAGTGAGTGAGTGAGTGAGTGAGTGAGTGAGTGAGTGAGTGAGTGAGTGAGTGAGTGAGTGAGTGAGTGAGTGAGTGAGTGAGTGAGTGAGTGAGTGAGTGAGTGAGTGAGTGAGTGAGTGAGTGAGTGAGTGAGTGAGTGAGTGAGTGAGTGAGTGAGTGAGTGAGTGAGTGAGTGAGTGAGTGAGTGAGTGAGTGAGTGAGTGAGTGAGTGAGTGAGTGAGTGAGTGAGTGAGTGAGTGAGTGAGTGAGTGAGTGAGTGAGTGAGTGAGTGAGTGAGTGAGTGAGTGAGTGAGTGAGTGAGTGAGTGAGTGAGTGAGTGAGTGAGTGAGTGAGTGAGTGAGTGAGTGAGTGAGTGAGTGAGTGAGTGAGTGAGTGAGTGAGTGAGTGAGTGAGTGAGTGAGTGAGTGAGTGAGTGAGTGAGTGAGTGAGTGAGTGGGAATTGACAGATAACCATCACTGGAGTAAGTACATTTTATGTTTTTATTTTTTCTATTTGTATCTGTGTATATTTGTTTCGCTGTTTCATTTCTATATGTTTTGTTTTTAATTTGCCAAGCACTGTTTTTTGTTTATTTGCTAGTGTATGTATGTGTGAAGATATGTTCGTCCATGAGTTATAGTGACTTCCAAAAGACTGATTAGTGAACAAATAAGGAATAAATTTATTTTCGTCTCTTCTTCTTCTGCTTCTTCATCAGATCTTCTACATGCATCTTATATACATGCATAAAATAATCAAAGAATTATTGCTGTTATTGTTGTTATTGACAGCTAGAATGTTTTTGTTTCCAGTAATAACATAAAATCACAAAGATATCCAAAATTCTAAAATTTATGTAGATGCCAAGATAAATTTCTAATGTTAATGTAGATTTCATCATGAGCTACCATAAGTTAGAGATTGTTCAGAACCTGAGAGCACTGGGCACAATTGTTTGGGGACTCTTCAACAGTATGCACCAACAACCCCACCAAGAATCAAATCCTTGCATTATTAGGTTGTGGGACAAAGTTTCTTGATCATTTAGTCACTTAGGCAGGAATTCAGTAATGAATTAATTCATATCCTGGTCAAAATCCCATAATCGAAATATTAATCTCTACCTCTTTGATTGCTACTGGATGGATTTCCTGAAGCGGTACCCGAGAAAGTCGTAAAGCCATGTCAAGGTGAATGAAATGAGTTTTCAACGAAGATATGGATTGACGGTCGCTTTATATTATGAATTGTGACGTAGTTCGAATTTACGGGTCTTTGAGTTCCAGTCCAACTGGCTGAATGAAGAATGATCAGCAAACTTGACGTGGTAACCTGAAGGTCTGAAGTTTCATCCCTCTGTTGGAGTCACAGTAGAAGAGTCCGCAAACTAGGTTGAGACAGTTGTCCAGTACTTCAGTGCTGGTTTCCAATGATTCTTTAGCCGATATCAATCCATGGTCAAACTCGAAGAAAAAACAAATTTAATCCTTACCCACCAACTCTTGAAAATTAATCTGATGCTCGCTAGCGACTTGCTACAGGGTAAAGTGGACTGGAGTTCTAGTGAGAAGTCGGGACCAGTGAGGACAGATTTCCCGCCGATGACATTGGTTGTTGCCAGTCGCACTAAATATCACCGATTAGTAGAAGTTAGGATTCATGGACTGGTCATTGAGGAGTCGGGTCCCACCGGCTGGATGGTATACGTGCTTGCCGTGTAACTGGGAAGTCCTGGGTTCGAAATTCAGAATCCTTAAAAAAACACATAATGTTGAGATTGTTATTAGATTATAGTTGAAAATTTACCTCTGTGTATGTGTGTGATAATATGCATAAATGTGTATTACTAAATTGAACATGATGAACAGCAACGAATATACAATAGAGTTTCGATTCAAACTAATTATAAACTTCATATGCATGTATTCACTTGGTAGGTGTTGACTGACAGTAGAATCCAGGATCTGCATTTCGTCCTATTTGGGACTCGTCAGCCAGCCAGTGGATCTAGCTGCATTCCCCACCGAGACTCGAACTCAGTTCCTCCTTGGTTTCAAACACCAAGGGCGTTATCCACAAAACCATTTGGGCCACGAAAATCATCTTACCCAACGGGTCATATTTATTACTTAATTCAATTTTGTAACTACGGTGACTCTATCCGAGCTTCGGTGGGAACACCATCACTCACTGGGAAATTCAGGCACATTCACTGGCTGTCTGACGAGTCCGAAATAGGGCGAAATGCGTGTTATCCCGGTGGATTCCACTGTAAAATCACACCACCCACCAATCGACTTCAAATTACATACATACCCGAAAATTGTTGAAACATTTTGAACAAGAAGTCGACATGTCAACTTTGAGACCGAGCACTCTCTGTCCAATCAATCGACAAAAGAAAATCTAAATTGAATCTAAATTCATATGGATGAATGTTAATATAAAAACAAAGATACATTTGTGTGTGTGTGTGTGTGTGAGTGTTGGCGTGTTAGTGAATTGTTAAGGCTAAAATTAAGTAAACAAAACGTGTTTGTTCATACAAGTATATTAATGATAATAATAATAATAATGGGGGAGATGGGTAGTTAAGTTATTTATACATACAGAATAAAAGGTCATTACTTAAAAGGTATGACGTGGTACAACCACTAAAATGGTTGCTTCTGTTTGTTGTTTTAAGTGAATTGCAATGGCTTCTACTCTACCTAGAGAGGACTGATGCTTTGGCAATTTATTTATTTTCTTTATTACACCGACAGATGGATGATAGTGAAAGATGATTCTTCAATGCTGGCCTGTTTAATTTATCTTTTTTTTCTTGTTTTTGTCTGTGTATTTTGGCTTCGCTGTTTCAATTTTTATTTTTGTGTTTTTTTATCTCCAAGCAAAAAATGTGTCGAGTATATTTCCCCCCCTTTAGTTTTCTGATGTGTGTGTAGAGGTTATTTGTATGCATATTTCTTTTTCCCAAAGTTACAGTAAGTTGTTCGTTCAAAAGTGTTCTTCAAGAAATCTCATTCTTTCTCCAGTTAGCAAAAGTACATCACCTCTATATTTATACCATCATTGATGATTGGTCACACTAAGGTGAAGGAACTAGATATTATCCATATGCCCCTAGTCCTCGGTATTCATTGAATTCTGTCTCTCATGATTAATTTCATTGTGATCACCAAGTTAGATAAAAACACGATCTCGGTGTACTTTGAACGGATGCAGAGCGATTACGGCCAAGTAAAAAGGGGAGGCACTGTTCAGTCTAGGTTTGGATGTTTCCTGCCGATTACCTCAAAACATCTAAAATACATTAGAGTATTTGATGATATTAGATGGTTGGGGGCGATTGGCATTTGAAGCCTTAGACCTAGGTTTCGTGTTAGCTGGTACTCACCAGTCAGTCAGCAAGGCATATCTGCAATCGCCTTGAAGGAATTCATGTCCCTTGTGAGATTCGAACCCGTGTCACTCAGTGAGTGCTGCAGTCAGAGACGTTACCACTGAGTTAGATAATCGACCTTGCGGTTGACCTTCTGTAGGACTGTGGTGGGTACTTTGATTGGACACTAGTAGTAACTAGTGTGAGGTGTGTAGTCCTTTCTTTGTTGTAGACTGAAAAAGTCATTCAAATGATAATGATTGTGCATCAGTTTGGGTCAGATAGAGTATAGGACTATGGTATTGAACGATTCTCGTAATATATGCATATCAGTATTGTATATACCTCTTGGTTAGTGGCGTAGGTATTGTGTAAATATTCAACCTGTTATTGGGTGGACTTTATTTTGTCTCCTATATGATGTTCAGATCTCAGTCCAGTTGAATATACACTTAGCCGTTGTAATTAACTGAATTTCAGCACAGAATTACACGAGTTCAAGTTGCCCTTTGTGCATATGCTTCAACAATGTCTGGGCATGTAATTAGAATTTAATTGGTGGATGGTGGGTGACTAGCAGTCGAATCCACCAGGATAAAGCGCATTTCTTCCTATTTGGGGCTAGTTAGTCAGTGGATGTGCCTGCATTCTGCTATAATTGATGATTTTCCACTGCAAGTCACCATCTGCCAACTAACCACTTCTAATTACATGCCCGGACATCGTCGAAGCATCTGCACAAGAAGCCAACAGACATGTCAACCTGAGACCACCGAGCACTTCGGCCCAATCAATCGACCGTAAAGTCTTAAATTAAATATTTAATATGACCCGTTGCACAAGAGGTAGCTCTTGTGGCCCAAATGGTGGTCTAGCGGATAACGCCTTGGTGTTTGAAACTTCGGAGGAACTGGGTTCGAGTCTCGGTGGGAGACGCAGGCATATCCAGCTGTCTGACGAGTCCCAAATAGGCCGAAATGCACACCTACCATCCACCAATATTATACTATTTATAACAGGTAGTTAAAGACAACTAGCCTTTTTAATATTTTTCACGTTCATTGACCTTGTATCATAGCCATAAGTGGAGGGGGGGAGGGTAGGAGGAGGTCGACAGAGTGAACTAAACTGAAGGATCTATGACTTCTTCGCATAAACAAATAAAAATCCTATCACCATTTAAGAAATTCTTTAATTCTTTAAAAAAACAGCAAAATAATTTTCAGAATATTCAAAGCTTTTACATATTCAACTGTTCATATTCACAATAACCCTCCTCCTCTATTTTTATTTGTTTACTTGCTTATTCATGTTTATACACATTTGTTTGTCTATTTTATTTGACAACAACATCACCACCATCGACAACAACAACACCAACAATCATCGGCTTTTTTTTGTTTACCACCATCGTCACCTTCAAAGTGAATTATCAAAGTTTAACACAACAAACCGGTGATGATAAATCCGAATCTGTTGGTCCTAGTCAACCGGAATCAGAAGTTGAAGAGAATTTTGAGACAAGTAAGTGTTGGGTGATTTCATCTGTCAATGTGTTTATGACCGATCCCTTTAACAGTCCCATCTGTTCATTTTATTTTGCATATTTATTTATTTAATTAATTGATCACGGATTTTTATTTTTTGATGTCCTGTTTGAGATGGCAGTGAAGTTAAACTGAGTAATTTTCGAATAAAGTAGAATGCACAACAGACTGATTAGTAGTAGTAGTAATTTAACAACAGAAGACAAGGGCCAGGCAACAGATCGTTCATTGAGAAAACCAACAGATACTTATAGATTTTTATGTACGTTACTATTTGTTATTGTTAACAGAGAAGCAACGTCCTCTGATTGGTTGTTTTCCTTCTGAAGGTTATTCTGTCATGTCTTTGTTGCCGTTTCTTAGACAGTCCGGTGAATCGTATCCGCCCACAATAAGTCTGCCGTGATTGGTTGTTGAGTCTCTCAAGGTTGGGTTTTGTTCTTGTTCCCTCTCCTGAATCGGATTCGGGACGTGTAAACATTGACGTAAATTGTTGTTTACAATTTTGGCTTGTTCGCAGCCGGCTCCCACCACAGTTGTAAGACATATGTGTTAATGCGAGGTCACAAAAGAAACTGTGTACAAATATTGTTTAAAAGAGTACAACACACACACACACACACTGTAGCACTTCTCCAGTGCTGAAGAGAATAAACGACAAAATATCTATCTAAAACTCTCCTGAATAAGAATGAATACTCATACAATTTCATCAACCAAAAAAAACAGCTGAGGTACCAACAAGAAACCATCTTCATGCCCAACCTTTCCTCTTTACAAGTGTTATTTCTAGCTTAGCGAGGTAAATGAGTGCGTCGGTGGCCGGGGATCGAACTCCGGACCATGTACATGGTCGGCGAGCGTCCTGACCGCTGTGCCACCGACACACAATTGATTAATTCATGTATTTTGTTCATTCTTTGTCTTTGCTGCTCTCCATTATTCTTCCCTGGACTTTTCTCAAAGAAGCCTCTGTCATATTACGTGGACCACTGAAGGCGGCTGCAAGTAAGCAGGATTAGTGGTGTGCCTGTTTGACTCAGCCAACTGACATTGTTGTTGTATATGGGCAGGCTATTTTAATTCTTGCCAACACAGTTGGCTAAAGTCATCTTGTCTGTCATATACACTGAACATACTCTTTGCTTCTATCCCCAACTTTCTTCTCTATGCGGCTTAAATTAGAAGAAATTCAATAAGAATTTTGTGCTTGTATTGGGTTTAATATAGAGTTTCAAGCATACCACCATATTAAGCAAGGTTTGTGTGTGTGTGTGTGTGTGTGTGTGTGGAGAGACAAATGTCGGAGAAACGCTTTTAAACGTTTGTAGTCAGTAAATTAACAGCCAATTATAACCAGGATTATTATTATGAAAAATACTTATTTTTCATAATATTCCACTAAATTTCCGTTCTTATATATAAGGAAGTAAATTCCATTCTGTATAATTATTACAGTTTGGAAGAAAATGATTATATCACCACTGTTTTTGTTTTATTACATCAAGTGTTCTACCAGTGCGTCGGTGGCATAGCGGTTAGTGTCCTATCTACTTTAATGAATTAGTCGGAAAAAGACAATGACACTGACAACACTATTATGTAATTCTTGCACTTAGATGTGATTTTTATTTCACCTTGTTCCCTGCAACCATCAAAATAATTTACTTTGGATCAATAATATACACTGAATTATCAATAGGACTGGTTGGTGGTGGTCACTGAATAAAGAATAAACAATTCTTTTCGATAACCTACTCTCTTCATCATCATCAGGTTCTGTCTGTCTGTTTTCGACATAGAACTTTGCACAAATGTGCGGAAGTTCAAGTCGCCACATTCCGTGTAGCACGCGAAGCAAGAGAAGAAAGTACAAGAAAAGCATAATAGAAACAGTGAGCAGAGGTGTGAGACAAAGGAGTAATGAAGAAATACAAAACAGTTTCATTGAAGATCATAAGTCACAAGGAGTGGATGCATCTGCGCTAGCCACTGAGAACGATTTTGAGCCATGTCACCAATTGTTTCCAACCATAGATTTTTACCGTCCCGAGGACCCCAGCCAGTCAGGAAGTCTACACCTTCCTACTAGGCTTAGACCAACTGTTGTGGATTTCATTGACTGGTGGGGCCAAGTTTTTGTTTGGCATCAGGTTCTACACTTACATATCCCTCCATAATAATGAAAGAATTAGAGTTGTTAAACAACATTAATGTTGTTTAAATAACATCGAGTCAATAATATTAAATAGATTACAAGTTCAATAGCATCTGTAAGTGTGATAACTGACTAATGCGTCAACATAACATAACACAACACACTGACAGTATCAGGCATATTAGGTAGGGGGGGGGGTGAAAATTACCTTTGATTGTAGGTGTCTCCAGTCTATCTCTCCCATTTTAGGTGATATAAAACAGGTTGAGTGATATTGACGCTGTTGAGGCTACATCGATTAAGGTGGTTATGATATGTCTTACGTATGCCTAGTCGACACCTTCCTCGACAACCAATGTTAGCTGACATAGGTTTAGGTTGGAAAAGAGCTAGTAGTCTTTAAACCAAAGCATGGAATCAATTCATAACATCTTTAACAATTAGTTTAATTGATTGGTTACAGGATTTCATTATGAGCTGATATCTGTTAGAGAACCATTGGAAAAAAACCCAGCTGGGAGTACTGAACAGCCGTTTCGTCTCTTCACCACCGCGAACGCACCACATAGGTCCAGACTCAGGATCTTTTGTTTACAAGTTGGAGACCGTGACCAGTAGGTTGCAACAGGTTGAGCATCAGAACGAATACTCGCCGAAGACATTGGCTGGTGGTAACGCTATGTACTGAATTGGCAAAGTTGGAATTCTTGGGCTAGCAATCAGGTCAGACTTCAGTGGCTTAATGGTCTACGAACTCGCCTTGTAACCAAAAGGTTCCGGGTTCGAACTTATCTCGTGCGTGTGTGCTGATGAAGAGTCCCGAAATGAGACGAAATGGCTGTTCAGTATTCCAAGCTGGTTTCTCAATGGTTCTCTAACCAATGTCAGCTCATGATGAAATCCTCCAACCAATCAAACAAAATCCCTACAAAACCAATACTTGAAAATTTTACTTTTCAATTACATCCTCATCTCACTGTAGTTGTCCTCTAATTAATATAAAATGTAAGATGCTGCTACAGGACTGGACTACGTCAACTCCTAGCTTAGTCATAGGGAGTGAAGTGATAGAACATGTTGACCACTTCACCTATTTGGGAAGTTGTATCAGCACCAACGGACTGATTGGCGACGAAATCTCAGCACGAATACGAAAAGCTCAAGCTGCTTTCGCTGACTTACACCATGTCTGGCGTAGGCGTGACATCCGGCTATCAACCAAAGGACGTGTGTACTGCTCAGGATTTCGCTCCGGCCTTCTCTATGGCTCTGAAACATGGCCAATACGAGTTGAAAACATGAAAAGGTTGACTGGTTTGATCATAGATGTCAACGATCTCTTTCTCACGTTAGGTGGTATAATAAGGTAAGTAATGTTGGCGTTAGGTGTGGAGTGTTGGGCAAACAGGGAAAATCAATCGACGAGGCTATAAAGTTGCACATGTCTAACCATCGCCTCCCCCGATGGGCATTATTAACTGATATAAATAGGTGCAGGTTGGAAAAGAGTAAGTGGTGGTCAGACAAAAACATGTCATCAATCCATGAAATCCTCGACAGTTAAACTCAGTCAGTCGGTCAGGTAGAGAGATGCAGACTTCCGGGTTCGGGCCCTCGGGACTGACTCTAGAAATCAATGGCTGGAGGCAATGGGTGACATGGCTCAAAATCGTTGTCAATGGCCAGCGAAGATGTATTCAGTCTCTGTAATCTTTCATATTCCTTTCTACCATTACCCATTCTGTTTCACTCTTATACTTGTCAAAGTCTATTGATTCTCTTCACTCTTCATGTTCTTGTCTACCTTTGTGTGGTATTTGAAACGTGGCAACTCGAACTGGTGCACTTCGGTGCGAGGTTCTATGTTCAATCCAGACAGACAGACTTTAATGAATATATTATGTATAGCGTTTCTATTACATTATACAACAATTTACCAATCACGTAGTAGCACTGATATGTTTGTTTTTAGTACAAAATGCGGAACACAGTTGCGTGTGTGAAGAAATCAGAGGCAGCTATCTGATGAAATATAAATCACAGGGGAGATCATCCATTTCTCATTGTGCTAACATGCACATAGAAATGAAATATGTCTTATTATATAACCTTAGAGAATCGAGTAGTACAGTGGAATCCTTTATGATGCTGAAATTATCTGGAAATCGATTTAGATATTAGCAAACATCTTGATTACGTGAAAAAAATTGTGAAATATTTCATACTGTGACTTCTCTTATTGTTGGAACTTATTTACCCAGAACAGAAATCTTGTATATATCAGGCCATGAGCCATACTTATATTTTCTGTGGACTAAAGTAGACCTCATCGTTTCGAAGACGAGTGTTTTTTGGACAATGAGCCAAATCCTCGAATTTCTATCCTTTATGGTTGTTGTTGTTGTAACAGTTTCCACAACAATTTTTTAAATCTTTTGATATGATCATCTCTTAGCATCATCATCATCATCATAAAGTACTTCACAGAGGCTCCTATATAACTATCCTTAGTAATTCAAAATGTAGCTAAATGCTTGACTTCCAACTATAGGGTTCATTAGTTCGAATCCCGCTTCGGCTAACGAGATTTCGGGCATCACCAACCATTAGTACAACAGGCGTGTCTTCCGCCCCGAGTAGATGATAGATCTTGAGTAGGACATCGTTATTTCCACCTACGTCTTTGTTATCACTTTCAGTTGACTCCACGACTACTCCTACAGTCTTGTGCGTACTCTTCATATGATCCTGTCCATATTACCCTTGGATGTATATATATATATATATATATATATATATATATATATATATACCTAGCCGGTCACTTCCCATTAGAGGTTTCTATTTCAAAGGCTTGGCATGTGACCCTCACACTGGAAGATCTTGTTGGCCTTAGTCCATGTCTAGTTCATTTGCATTTCCGACTGCATATTAGACAATAGGTTGTTGGAGAAGGGTTCCCTACCTACCAGACTTCCTTGTTCCAGTATGGAGGGAAGTTAAGCATAAAAGTTTTCTTAGAGTGAGTATAACTCATTGTTTATTTTAAGAAATTACTGTTTTTGTTTGTTTGTTTGTTTTGAAATCGGTCCCTTTTGATTCTCCATATTTTCATTTGTATATATCTAACAGCGAATGCTGGTACTGATGACGCTGTTGACGTTCCAGTGAATTCTGGTGAGAAAAATGAAGAAGGTACAACGATTTCAACCACAGCGACAACAGTGGATGGGAACGCTGATTCTGCGTCAACTGGCAGTCGACTTCGTAAACGTCTGTGTCGAAATTGTAGTGCAGAACTGTCGTCGTCAGAAGATAGCCCCCCACCACCTTTGGTAGGTTTATATACTACTTATATAGGCATATTGTATATAAATATAAAAGTGACATTAATATCGTTAGTCTTCCCTTTGTAACTTATGTTTATTTATATATTTCCTCAGAAATATTTCTGTATCAATTATATCGATTTTCTACGGTAGGGATGCACCAGCTTCACACCCAACTTTTCCCTTATTACCTACCAGTTGTTGAACCGGTTAGCGTACATTTGTTGGCGACGGAAACGAGGATGACATGGAGGAGATCGAACAAAGAGGAAATGAAGACCTTTGCGCAATCCTGGAACCAGTTAAAAATAACCCCCGCCCTCCCTCGAGAGAATATGGTGAAATGGAGCCTTGTGCTGTTTCGCTTAGATCCTAACAGATTAATAACAATATAATGCGATACATGTGATGGTCTTCAAAGTCCCATTGTAACGGATGAAGATAAGACACTTGGTGATGGAATGTTTATTACTCATTTGATATACACATGCAGGGAAATTATGTACACCTTATCTGGAAATCGTCACTATCACTGATCATCCGTGTTGTGCTATTTCTACTTTTCGCGTTTTGTGTTTCTTTGTCTTCTTTTCGTGTCTTCCATGTTTTGCTGCACAACACTAGTTCATTTTCTTTCTTTGACGTCAAATCTCCCCCTTTCCTCTATCTGATATGTTTGTGCACTGATGAGCATCTGTTCATATATGACTGATAAATCTCCTCAGTAGGTCACGTCACACTACTAGTTTGCTAACCTCCATCAATGTGTTCATACGTCCACTGAACAATTTCTTTAACATCGTAACCTCTTCATCAACATGCGCTAATTTCCAAAGTCTCATAGGAGATGCTCACTGGCGACTTGTCCCATATTCACGTAGGTTCTAGTGAGAAGTTGTGATCAATAGGGTGCAGCACGTCGGGTGTGAGGACAAATACTCGCCACCGAAGACATTGGCTAGCGATTGCGCTATATCGTGAATTAGCAGAAGTTAGAATTCATGGACTGGCCTTCGGATCAGCTCAGGTGCCAGTGGCTTAATGGTCTTCGAGCTCGCGTTGTTGTAAGCAGAAAGTTCTGGGCTTAAGCCGCGGTAGGTGCGTATTGCTGAAGAATCCCAGACTGGGGGTGAAACAACTGTTCAGTACTCCCTGTGGTTGGTTTTCCAATGGTTCTCTAACTAACTAATGTCAGCTCATGATGAAATCCTGTAACCAACTTTTTTAGCCTACTACTCAAATTCAGTTATAAGTTGATTGTTAACGATATTGCATATCCTTATAAATATACCTAACAGAGAAATTCTGGTTACGCATATGAATTACCCAGAGAAAAGTCCATCGAAATATATAAAACGGTCAAAGACATCAAAGTCTGTTTTCCAACTTGTCGCTATAATGGCTCTACATACACCGGGTTATATACTCCATATTAGTTTGTTTATTAGATATATCACAGTGAATAAAACACTATTATTTAGTGGATGACGTTTCGAACAAAATTTATTACTGTTCATGATCATTTCATCAATTGTAATCACACGACTTCGAAACTTGAGTTTTATAGTTTTCTTTGTCCTATCTGTCGTTATAGTAGTAGTGGAATTTTCCACATATCTGGGTGGATGGGTATTGAATCATTCCTGTTACACGTGTTTGCAGTTGATTTGATAAATAAAGCTTCTGTTATCAATCTCTCCCTCCATCTACCCTGTTACATTTGATTTTAAAACTGTCATCCTATGCCATCCAGCCTATTGTATGGTTGTGTGTAACTGCATGTAGAGAGTGCTATAGCTGAACTATTCTCTAGATTTCTCCAGATTTAGCTAAGTTTTTATGTTCAGCTAGTCTGACTGCCTCTGTTCTACTACTTTGACGTATTTATATGACCTAACAATCATTGCAGGCAAGGTATTAGATAAACTAAACTGTTTTGTTTTAGAGGTTTCACAGGATCCTTTAACCGACAAAGCCTGTTGTTAATTGAGTTTGTGGGGGGTTTGAATGTCAGTCACTTTTATTCGTGCCTTGTTAAGAATTCCGCGTAAGGTGGTTTCCAAGGTACCTTCCTTGTATGGTATTACTACCGTTGATTTAGATTCCTTATTGTTGGTGTCGTCATTATTATTATTATTATTATTATTATTATTATTATTATTATTATTACTATTATTATCACTATCGCTATTATCATTATTTATTTTATTTTTACATTTCCCTACATACTTTCTGACTAATTTGTCCGGGTAATTATTAAGTTTCAAGGCTTCTTTTGTGCGTATCACTTCCTATCTTAGATTTTCCTTGGTACTACTTAGTTTTTGTGTTTTGTATAGCGAGAGATTGTTTTTATATAGGGAGAGATTGATGACAGCAGAAGCTTTGTTTATCGAATCAACTGACAGGGAATACGTGTAATAGGAATGATTCAACACCTGTCTACCCAGATATCTGGAAAATTCTACTACCCCAATGACGACAAATGGGAGAAAACAAAGAAAACTATAAAACTCAAGTTTCGAAGTCGTGTGATTACAATTGATGAAATGATCATGAACAGTAATAAATTTTGTTCGAAACGTCATCCGGTAAATAATAGTGTTTTATTCACTGTGTGATATATCTAATAAACAAACTAATATGGAATTACTTACTACCACAGTGCTCAAGTTTTACACATGCATTAATACGGGCTATATACTGTTCACGAAGTATCATATTAGCTGAATAAGACCTTGTGATGCTAAGATATATGTACATATAATGGGGAACATGAAGCCTCTATGCTGAACCCATAGAATTTCACATCCCTCTTTATTATTTAATTCATGGAAAATTCTCATTGGGACATAGAGAAAATCAAATCAGCGACAAGAGATTGTCTCCAACAACGAATTGATTAATCAACCTAGACGAACGTATATATACATGGTGTTTTTTTTTTTAAGAAATTATATCCAATGATGGAATTAAATCATAGGTGTGAATGCATAAAATAATAATTATAGTAGTATGGAATGCAATTCAAATGTGATCATAGTTAAACGTCAAGTGACAAAACAATTAATGTCATACATACAATAATTTATAGAATGTATAGAACTTGGAAAAGGGGTGTGCAATTATAGGACTAGTAGACAAATCGAATAAAATAAAAGTTAATAAACGTTACTGAACATTGTGTAAAATTTGATAACATACAATTTAACGCTGCAAAACAAAATTGATTTGGAATGATGAGTGAGTGAGTGAGTGAGACGAGTGAAATAATACCGAGGACAATTCGAAATAAGATTAGTAATATTAACAATTGACATAATAAACGAAGAGTATACAAATTGAATAAACGAAACGAAAAATAGGTAGAGCAAAAATGTGATTAGGGATTACGATACTTTAGCATAGAGGAATTAAGACACGATGAACGTTGGCGGGGTTGAACGAACTGTCTCTGTATACAGAGATTTGGCTTTTCTGTTTCGACGGCCAAAGCTACTTCAGCTACATGGGTGAGTTGGATACCTGCGGATTTAGGCAAATTACTTTTCACCTTGTAGATGACTTTTTAAAGGTAGAGGTTGTAGAGAGACAGGGTGATCATCACCGACCAGTTGTTAAATGATCGCTCTTGTTATTGCTCCACTTCTACTTCTTCGTAACCACCAGCATCCAGTTGGATGAAACTCGAGTCGAACGACCGACACACTCATCTCAACAGACGAGCAGGTGGATTTGTAAACGCGTATAGAGTTGGTCAACTGTGTGGGATCTTGCCCTTCAGGTTATTGATTAGTAGTAGTAATGGTCGACGACTGGAAAACGCTAATCTCAACAAAGCAATAAGGAATGTCCTTTTCAGGTACTGCGTGTAATCCTGCTTTAAATGATATCGGAAGCTAAGTCACCTTTGAATTCCAAGCTGATGTATATACCACATGTATACACGATTGTGTACAACTTCATGATAAATTCATTGCAAAGAGTCTCTTCGCTGAATCACTGATTTTGATTTTCTATACACCCCACTGTGTTTATCTATTTTTAGATGTATATGTGATCATATATACCACATATGAAGGGTTCATCGATCCTTAAAGTAGCTTTAGAAGCAGATTAATAGTTTAAAATTAGTGAGTCTGTCTGCCTGGATTCAACATAGAACCTGGCGCCGAAGTGCACCAGTTAGAGTTGCCACGTTCCAAATACCACACAAAGGTAGACAAGAACATGAAGAGTGAAGAGAATCAATAGACTTTGACATGTATAAGAGTGAAACAGAATGGGTAATGGTAGAAAGGAGGAATATGAAAGATTACAGAGACTGAATACATCTCCACTGGCCATTGACAACGATTTTGAGCCATGTCACCCATTGTCTCCAGCCATTGATTTCTAGAGTCAGTCCCGAGGGCCCCAACCCGGAAGTCTGCATCTCCCTACCTGACCGACCGACTCAGTTTAAGTGTCAAGGACTTCATGGATTAATGACATGTTTTGTTTGGTCACCACTCACTCTGTATCAGCTAGTAATTCCCATCGGGGGAGGCGATGGTTAGGAGGCATGCGCAGCACGTCACCTAGCCATCTCTATGCCATCTATGTAACTTTATAGCCTCGTCGATTGATCTTCCCTCTTTGCCCGCCCAACACTCTACGCCTAACGCCAACATTACTTACCTTATGAAACCACCTAACGTGAGAAAGAGAAATTAGTGAGTTATTTCTTAATTCACGGAACACATGGTGCAAATTCATACACTTAAAACAAACTTCTGTTGCTATGGTGGTGTATCCCAAGGTGTTTGTAGAATTTTCTATTTATTTGTATTCCAAAAGTTTTCGTCATCTTATTTCAACCTTCCTTAGCTAAAATTTTGTGTTGATTCCAACCTCGATGTACTATTATTCCCCAAGTCTCTTTGTTAGTCTATTATTGATCTTTATATTGTTATTTTGACCTTGAATAGCTAGTCTTTTAACTTGACCTACTATGTCTATATTCT